CAATTTAAATTAGTTTTCTATTGGAACTCGATTTAAGCTCTGAGAAAATCTGATGGTGACGTTCGACCTTTCGTAAATCGATCTAGGAACAACGACCTTTTGTATAGGTTTTATTAGGGTCACTAGATGGTCGAATAGGCCAGTCGTTAGTCGCACACGTGCCGATCATCGAGTTAAGGTCCCAGACCCGTTTCTGAATTAATGAACACTCGAGAGAAGCGGCGGAGTTAAATTGTTTCATAATTTAAATGCAACACTGAACTTTGGATCAAGGATTCGAAGTTATTTTTTTTTTTTTTAAAAAAAGATTAAAATGGAATTTTTTTTTTTCGTTTTTGAAACATTAAATGTTAATTATTGAAAATCATAGGAGTTATTACAATTTGATGATGCATTCTACGAAGAATTGAGAGAAGAATTTGAGAAACATCGTATTTGTAATATTTAAATGATGATGCCAAAATTGTTTTAATATCACGAATGATATGCAAAATTCTATACTCGGAACAAGAATCTTAAAAATAGCACCATGATGGATGAAGATTAACTAGATGAAGATTGATAACGATGAAATAATCGAATTAAATGGGAGGAATTTATAATTTATAAAACACTCATTGAAGATTATAATTGTGTTGCAAAAATATAAAGGAAATTTAAGAAATTTTAAATAGTCGGTTTTAAATAGACAAATCGTCAATAAATCTTTTGTGATATAATTAAAATAAAATTTGATAAGCCTTGCAATTTGATTTGATATTTTCAATCAATCAAAATTGAAACATTACTTTCGTACACAAAAATGAAAAAAATAAATCCTAAACCAACATTCAATAATATCAAACCGAACTTACTACGCCATTTAGATTTCCAGACAAGAAAAATTCCAAAATAAAAGAATAAATAAAAAAGAAAATTTCTGGAAAAAAAAATTGTTCAAATTCGAGAAACACGAAAAGTCAAATAACGCCGAATCCTCTCTAATTAACAGGGTGGAAAATTAAACCCGACGTGCAAAAGGATTATAGCCATTCGTGGCACGAGTCCGCGAAAAAAGCAAAGGGTTAACCTACGAGAAATACGTAATGGAGGGGGAAAAAGAGAAAGACACGCGTACACCTTCGAAGGTAATTTTAGTTACTTGACAATTTGGCACTGTCTACGCCAAATAGAAAGTCACGCGCGTACCGGCTTCTCTTCGAGAGAGAAAGAGAAAAACCTGTGATGGTGCCACGCGAGCAAAAGAACTGAGGGAAGAGAGGAGTGGAGAGGAGGGAGATAGAGAGAAAGAGAATGGCCGAACGGTAGAAAGCGAAAGAAGAGACGAACGGAGAGAAGTCGTCGGTACGCGTGATAATCTATTTGCTCCTTCCGTAGTGCAACGGGACAAGAAGTCCTATTTATATCGCGAAGAAGCCTCGGTTTAATGAGTCTAGCTGCTATCACGAGTCCACTGAGATACGATCGCCACGATGTTAAACAAAAGGGAGTCGAATTTACGATAAAAGAGGGAAAGAGGTTAGGTTATGTTGCTTTTAATCGCTTAATGGCGTAGAGACTCGTGTAGAGGTAATCTACACGAGTGCTTAAATACTTCTTTTTGCTTTGATCAAAAATTTGACATTTGTGAGAAAATTTGTAAAGTTCAATTTAGTATTAAAAATAGTGATAAAGATCCTATTGTAAGTGTTATACAATTATAATTTGTTTTTATTATACATTAAAAAAAAGAATTATTTTTTATATAACAAAAGTTCTTTAACAAAGATACGTAAAAATGAAAAACGAAATTCTTAAAATCAAACGTTACGAATAAAGAATCGTGAGGAAATAATATGAGATTCGAACTTTAAAATTAGACAAAGAATATAAATAATCAATCGTGAAATAAAGGCGATTATTTAAAAGAAAAAAAAAAAAAAAAAGAAAAGAAAACAAAAAAACACGTTATCGAAGCTCTAATATTTAACATGCCGATAAGGCGAACAGATAAAAAGCCTCCGGTATCAAGCGTAGAAAGTGTGTATGAGTTTAGCGAAGGTGATATGAATATCGAATTCATCGATTACCGATTACCGCGCTACCGGTTCCGCGGTTCGCGTGCGTGCACCGCGCTCTTTGCTCTTCAAGAAGAAAAACGAGCTGTTCGGCCAGCGGGAACGAGGAGGGCGGAACAAGCTCGAAGAAACACAGGTTGCACCTGCCGCCGCTGCTTGGCCGCAGCGTTGCTGTACCCAACTTATCCCTTCCCCAACATACACGGAGCCACAGATTTTTATCCATCTCGCTTAAAAACTTCGATGCCTATTGGTCGTGCTTATTTAATATATTCAAAGATTTTTAATCAGTTCGTTTGATTTTCGGCAAACATTGACAATGGATTTCGCGATCTTGTGCTATACTACTGGCTTATAGTATTAATGGATAATTAGATGGCTTTACATCGATCAATTAGGCCAGTTTACATAATGTAAACGACATAGGTTAGGTTGATAATATGCAATTTTTCTGTTCTAAAATATCTCCTTATGAAATTTTTATTATATTTTATAATTAATATTGATTAATTAATAAAATTGATATTTGATCATTTGATTTATTATATTTTTTAACAATATAATCAAAGAATGAATTAATTTTAAAATGTTAAAAGAATTTTATTAGACTTAAAAATTATATTAATTATATCACGAAGAAATAAATTGGAATCATAATTGATTTTATTCAAAACAATCTTCTCAACCAATTTTTTTGTAAATATTGCTAAAGTTTTATGTAACATCTAGAATCCAATTTAAGATTAGTAAATCTTAGTTTAATAATTTTATCTTTAAGCAAACTACTAATGGAGATAGACTTTCGTTTTTATTATCAATACATTACAGTTTATTACAATGGTAGAAATCACACACAAGCGAAAATTTAATAGCAAAGGTACATTTGAATTATTGCAGTTTTTATGAGTTGTAGAAAGCTAGCAATGCGAATGGAGAGAACTAGAAATTTGTGAAAACTTTTCGAATATGATGCTGTTTCAGTATAGGGTATAAGAGTAGTTTAAAAAGATTCGAAAGAGGCGATTTCGGTAAAATATTTTTCCTTAGAAATGCAAGAATCTTTTTGAAGAGATAAAGATGAAAAGAAAGTTAAAGTGAAAATCATGTATAAGAAATGGAAATATAAATGTAAATAATTGAATTAGTTAGAAAAGAGCTTAAAAAATCTAATAACATAATAATTTTTACTTTGATAAAGTTTGATTATGATTTGCATAAAAATTAGTTCATTATTTTCTATTAATTTACTTTTTTAATATTTTTAAGATGAAATTTATAGATAGCTAATAATTTAAAAATCTGTAATATTATAATTTTTATAAACTAAAAAAAATATGTTTCATAATATAATATATAATTCATCGATATAATGTGATTATTTCAAATCAAAGATTGAATTTTTCATATAATTCTACAATTTATGAGAAAAAGTTTAAAATAAATAAAACTGTACAAATATTCTTAATACTCGGAATAAATTAATTAATTATTTTCTAAAATATAAAAATTTCATTAATTTAATTCTTATTATGAAACAAAATATAAAAACAAAATATATTCTCTTCAACATGAATTTTCAAATAATAATGCAACTGTTAAATATACAATTTTCATCGCGTCTATTTATAATCTATAATCTCGCATTTAAACTGCATTTTCAATTTGAGGTATTTCTTCAATTAAATTGGATAGAAACAGAACGAACAGATAAGATATGAATAAAAATAATGCACCAGTGTTAACAAAATTTACAGCTTCAACCATACAGCTGTTATCATGGCATCATTAAAATCAACAATTTAAAATCAAATTAATTTTCTAACAATATTGCCATTCACGATACAAGATAAACTTATAAAGACGTACACGTGCACGCGACACATATACGTGCACGCGACGCATACACGTGCGATCATTTTGTGAACGTGAGCAGTAAAAATAATAGTCGATATTCCTTTTCGAATCTTAAATGGAAGTCGATAAGAATAAATCGAAAATATAAAAACACATGTGAATAACACATATCGAACAATTTTCACGTAATTTTTCTAATGATGTGTACTTAGTTTCTCGACAATTTGATCAATCTCATTGCGTATCATAAAGGTTATATACGCAACGGAGTTTATAATAGCGGAGCATGAAACCGATATACGCTCACTTTATAGTCACAATAAAGCGGAAAACTACCGTTCGAACGTTCCAGCTAACTAGTTTCTAATTGAAATACGAACAAGTCAATGACAGAAAAAAAGTCAACGTTAACAAACTGACTCGAAATGCGCGATCGACGGCAACAATCTTTACCAAACAGCGTACCTGGTCGTACCCGGTTAGCCGCCACGATAACAAGTATCCGATTAAATTTATGTAATGGCGTGTTACCATGTTACCGTGGAATTACTTTGATAACCTACTGTGATAACGTTATGGTATTAGAATCACTGTCACTTCGATAATATTTTTCTTATTATACGAGTACAAACGCGAAATCTTTGAAATGAGATTTCAAATTTCAAATCATAATTGCATATACTGACTTTTTCAAAAAAATTAATCTTACCTACTGAATAAACGAAGCTGGATTTTTCTTATATTTACTATTCATAATATTAGTTAAAAAAAAAAATTGTAGCATAACGTTTGTAGATGATATTATGCAGTGAAAAGAATCGAAAAACTAAAATGATAATCGTAAAGTTGTCTACACGAACGCGTGTCCCGACGGCGACAATGTTGAGCCGTGAGAGACGAGAAAAAAATCAGCAACGCGGTACCGCATATTACAAGACACTCGTCGTCGCATCCACACATGTGCATATACATATGCACGTGTCATACACGCACATATACACATACATACACACAGAACAGACGGTAACGTAGTTCCATGCAAGTGTATATTCGTACATACACAAGCGCATGATTAAAAGAGAAACTCACTCCAGAAATAATGCACAGTATCCATCCAAGTCGCGGTGGTGGAGGTAGGGTTTGCTTGTCCTGGATTATCAAGACTCAAAAGAGCGCGACAAAACGTACAGCGTTGCGTTTAAGTTCCTCGAACGTTTATCGTCGTGATGGTTGTCGTTGTCGCGACCGTCGTCGTCGTCTTACGACGACGACAACATGCTTTTGTACGGGCTTCCCGTCTAAATATCCCGTATTCTCGTATCTCTACACTGAGGCACTCACTGGTTGAGCAACGAAAACGCACCGCGTTTCACGATAAGCACCGTGTACATTCCCCTCGAATATATTTCGCGCCGAGCTTTTCCCGCGTTTAGTTCGTTGACGCACACGCGGCGAAGGTAACGCAGCCAGAGCGAGATGGAGAGAAACGCACACACATATAACACGCGAGAGCGGTAAAGAAAGAGCGGGGAAATAGATAGAAAGAGAAAGAAAGAGGAAAGAGGAAGAAAGGAGAAGAATGAGAGAGAATGACAGAAAAGGAGAGACACGTAGACGCGTGTTACGTTGAGAGTAATGGAATATGTGCGAACACTTCTCGCTTGGTCCCGCCTAGGGGAAAGAAAATCCGTCGCTGCCACCACTGTTCCACCTCCAGAGCTTGTTAAAAGCCGTAATATATGTATAATGCGAAGTGCGTGTTCGCGCGCGCACAGTTTTCAAAACAAAAGATACCGGTATAAACGGGAGCCGGTTTGTAGTTACTGTCTTCTTTCAATGTTTTCTCCGTTTATCCGTTCGGTTTTCCTATCCACCGTGAATCGCTCTCTTCTACTCGCGCGGTTTTTCCGCACGCACACGCCGCCGCGGATCAATAATTCACCATACGAATTCACCAGAAGCGGGTGAGCGAGCGGGCTGGCACGCAGGCACTAGGCAGAGGCACACGTTTCTGTCGTGGCGCGCTCTCCTCGGGGAAACGCACGCAGCCCACCACCACCGGCACACCGCCGACCGATCGCGCTTCGTCCTAACCTCCTCGACGAGTCTCCGTGCGAGCGAGTCCGTACACGTTGCCAGAGAGACTGCACACGCTTCGGTAACACACATACACTGAACCGTTCGCTTGACACACAGCTGACACAACGCTCGTAAACACGCGACAATCGAACAAAGACGGATGCACCAATGCACTACCAGACTGCACGGATAGATGCGATAGACCGGCACAACTTGAGCTCTTCGTTTATCAAACTGATCCGACTATCGTTTCATCACACTCTCTGTCATTCTCTCTCCTTCTCTCTCCCTCTCCTTTCGATCTCTCTCTTTTCCTTCTATCCTTTCTCTCATACTCTTACTCGCTCTCACATACACATTTACTCGCTCTTTCCTTCTTACTCTCAATAGCAATAGTAGGAACAGAGTATCACTAGCAGCAACACGGAGCCAGCAATACGAACATCACGGTCACCGGAAATACGAACCTGACAATCACGACACACAAGGAATATGCGAGAGATCGGTAATATTTTTGACCGATACAGAACACAGTCAACCGGATAACGTCGACACGTATATACACGTTCACGCACTATGTCGCGTCTATGTTCCCTTTTCCTCCGTAATATTTGTCTTTATCGCACGGTCAGTTTGTCTGTTCGTCTCTTTCTTTCACACAAGCGTCTATTGCTCCCTCTGTCTCTCACTCCCTTTCGTCTGTCTGTCCGTCTGTCCGTGTCTGACGGTGTGTATATCGCCGTCGTCGCTGCTGTCGAATCCGTTCCGTGCGCGGCCCCTGTGTGAGACGACGCCGCTGGGACACACGGGCGTGGACGAATAGACGCGCTCTTTCGAGGATGTTTCGACACTATTTTCTTTAATGTACTTACCACTGGGCGAGCTGACGTGGCGTCGCGCGCGCGCGGGGCCTTTACACCACGGGTAAAATTCGCACAGTAATATTAGCGCGCAAGGCTGCACCCCGGTAAATACGAGCGCAGTCACCACTCTTGTTTTTGGTATGCCAGGAATGGCACAAAGAATCTGGACAACGCACACGCCTGCTGCGCAGCCGGTCTGCGCACACGCTGACACCGCTTATGCGGCCGCGGGAGAAACCAGAAGCCGAGCGCAACCGACGACGTACGAATTGCACCGAATTCGACCGATCATCTACCCCCACTGCATCATACAAGACCGTCATCTCCCCACTCCCCGCACAGGAGATCAGTCGCGTCACGCACGTAATAGAGGTTGGATGTTGTTACTCGCTTACTCGTTTATTCTCTCTCGCTCAAGTTTGAGGGGCACTTGTTGAATTTCAGAGGTTACGTTTTAGGTTTTTCGAATGAACCTTTTGATAAATGGCAACACATAAACTAACAGACCACAAAATGACCATTTTTCTCTTTTGTATACTTTTTTTTTCCATGTAATCTGATACTAAACATATATCAACAAAATCATTGCATATGTATCGTATACGAAACGCTTTTTTTTTTAAATTCTTTTAATGAATTTTTTATTTTTATGATATAATATAATACTTTTCAAATATAAAAATATAAAAAATATTTTATAATAAAAATTCAGTTTAATTATAGTCGCTTATCTATTTAAATATTTACAATAGATTCAATTACGTTTCTGTTATTTTACGATGCGATAATGACGATCATGTAAGTTTTAATGTTTGTTTACATAAATTAGTTCGCTTACAAAAGTGAATGGTTTACATTTTCGGTAGCAGACTGTCTGGGGCCATTTGTGTACTTAACAGATCCTAGGGATTAACCGATAATAGCTGAATGCGAGACAACTGACCCAAACAAATGCATTGCCTTAAGATTGTCAAGTGTCGTTCGTACTTTATTTCATGAAAAATGACTCTTTACCCTTCATCATTCTTTTCTTTACTTGTTACTAAATTTGTATAGTATAATTTATTTTAGAATATATTTATTAAATTCACGCTTTTTTTTGTGACTTTTGTTCTGATTTCAAGATTTTCTTGTACGAAATTTTCATTAGATAATTTGTAAAATATAATAGTAAATATTTTGAATAATGTTTACAATTGACTTTTGTAATACAATTGAATATATCAATATTGGACTCGAAATTCTAACTTTTAAAAGATTGTTATAAAAATTATAAGTATATATTAGTATATAATTATATACTAATATATATGTATTAAGTATATAATTTTATATCACATATATATTAATCATGTGAAGAATTTCAGTACATTAAAAATTTATTGCATCAATTAAAAATGAAAAAATTATATGCTATAATAAATTAATATTTAAATTCTATAGTCTAATTTATAATATTTTTTGATCATTTATTATTTAATTTTATAGATTCTTAAATCTAAATTTTTTGTATTTATGATATGCATCTTAATAATTAATATCTTTATTAAAATTTTTATTAATCTTTAAAAAAAATAAATTAAATATATTGTTATAAATTTATCAAACCAGTTCACTACTTGCTCGGATAATCGGCTTTCTACTTTATCTACAGAAGTCAATTGTTACACAATCTTATCAGGAAAAAACAATTTTTTTCAATATGTTTTATAATTTCTTGCTCGTAAAAAATATATTATTATTAAGGATATTTGCATTAGTCTATGAAAATAAATGAAGATGAATCATTTAAATTATTAATTATTATTTCAATTAATTTATGCATATAAAAGACATACGATAATATGTTTAAACAATCATTTTATAAAATTGTGTTTTCAAGAATAAAAATTAAAATAATATTTATTAAATGCGAAATGTTTATTAAATATAAATTTAAATTTCAATTATACTCATAACTAAAATTATCAAGCAAAATAACTTCACTTGTTTAATTGAATATATTTCTAACCTTCTTTCTAAAATATGTACTAAAAATTTGTATTATTTATTTAGAGAACTATTAAATCAATAAAGTAGAAAAACGTAAAAAATAACTAAATTTATGATTAATATAAGTATAAATATATTAATAAATATATTTACACATATCCCATTAATTCGTTTCATTTTTTTCACTAACATCGAATGATAATTACAATTGCATAGAAAAAATAAACGATATAAGAGAATTATTACACAATATTTACGTTTACTTATACATTTTTCACACATGTGTCGAAACGTTTGATGTAAGCATTAAAAACGTGTACAAAGTCGCGTGAAAAAGAAAATAAAGAATACTATGTTTTCTGAACCGTTGATAGGTTGAAAGTTGCCCGTGTTGTTCGACGCGTGTGCACACGTTGAGCGTTTATCGGGCCGATTTTAAACATGACAAAACGTTCGTGAAATCAAATGTCACGTATCAAAATGACGTTCAAAGCGTGCCTTTTGCAGAGAGACAAAAGCGGTCGTAATTAATGCTTTTAAACGCGCGCGCTGTACTGCACAAGCTCCTTTTGTCAGTTGGACACATTGTACTCGACAAATGTTTACGAACGACCACAGAGTAGCGGAGCGTGCACAGTGACAGAGGCTGCCACGCCGCGGGGCTGAAACGCGCGCAGTTTTCGTGCGGGTTTTCAGCGAACGCGACACATTGAATGGGAAAGGTACGGTCCGATTTCACCCGCGAGGTTTAATTACTTAATTACGTTAACGCTCGATTTTCGTGACATGTCGACGAGCGGACTAAACGATTCCGTTAGTTCTATGGCAATTTTGTACGCAGTTCTCTTTACCCTCGATTAAAGTATGACCGTATACGATACGCGTTCGTAAATTTGTTTCACGTTTGAAATCTTACGCTTAAAATGAAATTCAAATTTTCTAATTCAATGTACATATTGTGCGTTGTTTCTGAATAAACTTTATATTAATATACATACAAGATGTCACGATGAAACTATGTAAATTATTCTTTTTAATATAGTTATATATATGAATATTGCAAAAATAAAAATATATAATTAAATATTTATAATTATTATTATTATTATTATTAAGAACACATAATAACAAAATTAAAAATATTATAAATATATAATTATAATTAAAAAATAAACTATTTGCAAATTAAACAATATTGGAAAATATATTTTTTTAATTTTTTCAAAATTATTTTCCAAGTTAAATTAAGTTTTTATAATTTAAATTTGTGATATTTTCTTTTTTTTCATTATTATTTTTTAAATTATTAAAATATACGATATTTTATTGTTCCTTATGAATTTTTTTATAATAATCAAATTGACAATTATTTTTCTTTTTGTGATTTTTATTTATTTGAGCTATTTTAGTAGGAGTATATGCTTCACGGTTGATATGTTGTGAACCATCCTTAATGTCGATAGTCGTTAATGTCGAAGTTATAAAACTTCCGATGCTCATTTATACTATTAAATCTAAATCCCTAATTTTAAGCTAGCGGAACAGTGGCAATGATCATAAAAGAAATTATTATTTCTATGATTATAATGCGATCGCTGTAGTAAATTATGTACAAATTAATTACAATATTTTAAAAATAAATTTTTCATGTTTTATTAATTAATCACAACAATATATTTTAGTTAATTTCATGAAATTAATTTAAAATTATACTTTTATTTAAGATGTGATAAAATAATAAATAAATCGTGAAAAATAGTTATTTGCACTAGATCACGTATTTATTATATATTTTAAAATAAAAATTAAGCCTTATTTATTATCTATTTTATAAATTAAATGGAACCTCGTATACATAATTATAATAATGCATTATATTGAAAGATATTATATAACAATGCATTTAATTAATTAATGCAAAATATTTTAAATCAATATTTCTATAAAAGTTCATTGACATTGTCGACTATATTTGATAGTTGCGAAAAAATTTGCAACGTCGTAACTATTGTGAAGTTCCTATTACACAGAATTATCATTACAATCTCGTACAATACGACAATCACAATAGGCATCGAAATGAATAAATAAGAGTGATTATAATTAATGTCTATATAGACATTATTATTAAAGATAAATTTTTTTATAGATTTATTAATAAAATAGATTTCTCAAAGCTCAATATAATATTATATACAATCGAAGATTGGTACATAAAATCACTCGTAAAATTTTTCTAAAAAAGAATTAATTACTACAATAATTATTTTATAAATTCAATATTTTTTTTGCGTCGACTATTATTAAATTAATTATTAAATTAAAAATTACATAAATTAAAATATAAATATAAAATAAAATATAAAATAAAAATTAAAAATTACATAATTGCATTTAAAAAATATATATATAAATACATAATTTACCTTTATAAAATCTTTATTCTCTTTTCATCTAAAAAAAATTAATTATACCAAATTATATCTCTCTAAAAATCATTCAATTATTGTTTGAATTATTTTTTATACATATAATTTACAAATAATTTATATATTAAATTTAGATATCCTATACAATTACAAGCATTTTTGTCTCTTTTTAAATTCTAAGTTTCTTAAATTTCACATTATGCAATGTTTTATGTATTTCAATTGTAAGTAAATTAACTAACCTATTTTAATTTATTCCTATCACGATGGCATTATATCATAGTAAATCTCTTCTTGCACGCAAATTTGGAAGTTAAACGTAACGGTGCGATACTTGTTATATAAACTTATTAAGTCGAAACTAGAGCAAACTTGAAATTATCATTTCACGAAAGTTGCACCTATTGTTTCTGCATTGTTTGAAACTGCACCGCAGGACACAGAAGCTGGCCAATTCCAGTTTCTGCTTGGATTTGCTATGTTGCGACAATGGTCAGATTATATCATGGATATCGCGTTTGGGGAACAATTATTATCGAAATCATAACATTTCAAGGGCCTTCGATTTTTAACAATAGAAACAATAGAAATTATAAAATTATATTTTAGTATTAGTTATGTTGTAAGATTTGTTCTATGTATCTATAAATGATACAATATAATTATTTAAAAATTATTTACAATGATCTATTTTCATTTTAATATTAATTAATTTTAAAGAAAATTAGATTTAGCAATGTTTGGTATTTAGTATTTGTGAAATTATAAATATAATTTATACAAACAATATTCTATAACAAACATATTTTGTACAACAAACATAATTTGGAATCTATCTTAACACACTAACATGTATAACATAACAATAAATTTAATATTTGACACAATTTAAATAATCATGAATAATATTACCATGTATTCATATTTCTATTTTCTTCTCAATTCAATTAAAATCTCGCTGTAAAAAAAAAATATTTTCATTAAAAATAATAAAGAAATATCTAAATGTATAAATAATAAAAAGAAAATTAAAATGGATTATAAAAAATACTTATAATGTTTTAAAACGTTCGAAATTTATTTCGTATAAATAAATCTGAAAAGACTTAAGGAAAAAGTAACGTTTATAAAAGCATCCCTGTTCCACGGACACGATACGAGAATTCCTTGAATGCACCGTTCACGCGATATTTTAATACTTTTGTAGCTTGTCGTTCGTGCAAGTAAATCTTCCCTGTGATAAGCTCCGTTAGGAATCTCACCCCCGCGAAACATCTCCCGTTTATAAGAAATGTTTTCGAACTTTATGAGGTGATGCGAACGTTCGTCGTTGGAATGGATCGAAAATAGCTCTTTCTTTTTAAATAACAAAATCGTCGAGAAAAGCGAGGAAAGCGCCGTAAAACTTGCAATAAAAAAATAATCAAATATGAAAATATTATCGTCGAGATAATGCATTAAAAAAATTACTGCCGTAAATAAGCTCATACTTTTCGATAATATTGTTTATACTAACGAATGATTTAAAACGATCTATTTATTATATAATTTTCGATATGTTAATTTTAACTAAAATTTATTTACATATTATAATTTATTATTTTGACTATTTTATTTAATTTTATGAGATAAACATATAAATTCTCATTTCTCTTTAATTACAAGTAATTGAACCGTGAAACCGTTGTTATTAATTACATTTATTTATTTCAATATATCAAGTAAAGCATTAATTCGACATACATATACTCCTATGATATCTATAATTTTCTGCCAATAGACGACAAAATCAAAGGTTCATATCGTTCTATTAATAATTTAAATTTATTATGTATATATTTTAAATATACTTACATACACATATATTTATATAAATTTTGCAATAACTTTGATATATCAAATGTAAGAAAATAAAATATTTTCTTTTCTATGTAGATTAATTTCTAATAAAATACCGGAAGTTTTCTCTTTTATCTCTTCCCAACATTAACTTCTTCATGCAAACAAGCAAACAAACAAATTCAACGAAGAAAACGAAGAAATAACACATTACGACTTTTGCTTTAATATTTCATCATTGAAGATGCATTTCACAATAATATGAAATTTTCCTCAATATTATGTTATATTACTATTATATCTAAAACATGTTGCTAACCTAAAAAGATTGAAAACAAGATTGGTATAATATAATTAATACAAAGTAATAACATAAAATAATATATAATAATTTTCATAATAAAAATATATCCTCTTTCCTGTAGATTAATAACTTTGATCAAATACGCATACATCCACATACATATGACATAACCTCTTAACGGATTAAAATGCATCTTCTAATATCCAATCTTAACCTCCCCAGACAGGTTCGTTCGAAAAACCATTCAATTATTATTCAATTATAGATAGTGGGAATGGTTCCTCACTGCTGCAAGCACGGTACCAGAATCGAATGGAATCCAGCTGAGAAGCCGGGTCCGGTAGACGTCGAACGAGTAGGATTATTCGCCGTTGGATCGGGAGCTGGAGCCAGGACACCGGGGTCGGGGCCGGGGCCGGGGAACAATGTCGGAAACGACGAGGACGGTATGCCGAGATATGCAGGATATCGCGCAGAACTGCGATCCTTCGAGGTCGGGGCAGAGGCACGGTTATAGAGAGAGCAGTGTGCGCGAGAGTAAAGCTAGATACATATCCTCCGGTTCCACTATCCCCACCACTCACGATCCCCCACTTTCGCCCACCAATACCCATGTACCACGCTACATCACCAACACATCGACATCGAGGCGCAAACCGAGAGAGAATACGTCTAAGTGTATTACCTCCGGGAGAGCGCACCGTTCCACCTAAATATGTAATAATATCTACCGGAGATACCGGCATTCCTCGACCTCGAGAAGAATTCGATCAAAATGTGTCGCGATACTCTGCTGGTATGCCAGGTGAGCTACGCGTTTCTCCCCGTCCCCTCTTGCCTCCTTTCCTTAGACGTTTACGCTTCCTACGTCTTCTTCGTCGAGTTTGCTCGAGTCATCCCTTCCTCCCTCCTCCTTCCTCCCACTCGAGTTCTGTTCGAACGAGATCGGATGCGAGATCGGCGTCTCGCGGTGTCTCGACTATTTTCGGAGGGTGGGAGTTTCGAGAGTTTTGTGGATATCGAGAGATTTTTAGAGGACTCGTTCTTTCAGATATTTTCGATTCTGATTTCGATTGTTACGATAATCGATCATTTATTCTTTGTTAATGTCTAAAATGGAGAGAGCGAGTGTTTGACAGTTTGAGTGAAATTAAAAGAGGATTTGAAAGTTGTATGTGCGTGGATAAACAATTATTAAATTAATATTTTTTTTTACGTGGCATCTTAAAACTTATTAGTGAGCATAAGAATAATACATTTGGTTGATTGGATTATTTATTTTTTTCGAACAATAAAAATTTTTATATATTTGTACAAAATTTTTGTAACTGTTCGAAGCATCCTATATTTTACGCACATTATAATCGAAGAGAATCGAATGAAATAGTACGAGACTAATTCGATATAGGGCAGCAAAGAGATAGAATCAATTCTTCGAAAGATATATCACGCGTTTCTTAACACCCTGTATAACTGCAGTAAACCGATTGGCAGCTTGTCAGCTCTCTTGGAAAACAATAGCGCATCGATGCAATTTTATCGATGTTACAATCGGCAGGCAAGTCGATACTCAAGTTGATAAATATCAACTACTTTCCTTCGGCATATTTCACAATGCACGTCCATCTCAAGTTTATACTAGTATCGTTACTATTCGCGTAATCGAACGTGCTCACCTTCGGTGCTAATTTTTTTAACACCATTTTCCAGGTTACAGAGATAATTGAATTTTTCCTTGAAAACTTGAAATTTGCGATTATTTACTAGGGACGGTAAGAAACGAAAATATCTCTCTTCGAATTTCTCTTTACATTTCTCTGTCGAGTTATAATCTTTTTTTTTTTTTTTTTTTTTTTTTGGTTAATTTATCAGGCTAAGGTTATTTTATCAAATAATATTACTTTTTTTTTTTTTATAAAAATTATTGATTGAATCGAATCTAAATGACTGAATATGACAATCAAGAATTAAATGAATGCCGTTTCTTTTATTCATTCATTCCTTCATATTTCACATTTCATTCGACGATATTTCGTAATTTGCCTGAAGAATTTTCCGACATGTAAACTCCTCCTCTCTTCCTCTCCTCCAAAAAAAAAAAAAATAAAAATAGCTCACAATGTACGAGGACACGGAAGATGCATCCGACATAGACGAAGATTTTTTCAACGCGTTAGCGCTTCTACATTCGACGGAAGACGACAGCACGGAGAAACTTCGTAAAATGCTCGATACGTTCATCGAGAGAAGGTATGGATTTGACAAAACTTTGATGGCGAGGATGCCAAAGAAATTTTTGCAAAATACGAAAATCTACGGGAAATCGAGCGAAAGATTTCCGGAAACGTGTTCCCGGAAAAGGAGCACTGCCTCGAGGAAAACCGGAACTCAGCTGATTTTTGGGAACAACGATAACACGACGACGGAGAGTAATTGGAAACCAATGAAAATAATTGATACGACGGATGTTGAGGATTGCAGCGAGAAGGGAGACATCCCAAGGATATCCATTCCTGACGAAGGATCTGGAGATGGATTATTGTGCAAGGTTTTTGGTGATATTTTAGTAAAGTAAATTATAAACTACAACATTATACAATTTTAATGGCGTCCATTATAATTTTTCTCCCTTCTGATTAATTATATATCATAAACATTTCTTCCTGGACAAAAGTTAGCTTGAGAGAAAGTGGAAGAAAGAGAGATATGTATGTATGTGGATGTTAAAAAAATTTCAAAGAATAATGGAAATTCTTCGTATCAAAATAATAATAAATAAAAAAAGTGAGCTCCACAACATGTCAAAATCAAGATTTATTTTGAAAAAACTAAGTTCAATCCACTATATTTTCTTTTATTTATTATATTATTATAATATTGGATATATAATATTGGGTGTGTAATATTCATTGTTAAAAAAAAAAAACTTCATCTTGTAATTGTTATATTTACATTTCAGATGAGCTTGGACTAAAGATCTAAATAGTTCAAAATGACTACTTTAAATGAATAAAATCTACAATGTTCAACGTTACACAATAGAAATATTTCAACTGCTTTGGTTTCTAGTTTTTTTTTTATTAATATTCCTATTACTTGTTCCAATTTTTCCAATTTATTTTTAATTTCATATATTTCATATTTTACAAGATATATCGACATCTATCTAATTTGATCTTTGCTTGTAACGAAAGATCTGTAACGGGGCAAAGCTAGGACCGTTGATATTGTTGGAGTGTCAAGAATGTCAAGAAGTCTATCATCCCCTGTGCCATCAACCCCCTGTCGTCGATATCGACGTCTACGATCCAAGAATCGTGTGGAGGTGTAGAAAATGCGTGGACACATCTTCTGTAAACTCTGTCATCGCTTTCGATGAAAAGAAAGTGAAAAGGTCTCGTCTGACCAATGACGAGGGCAAACCCAAGGAAGCAAAAATGAACAAGTTGGTGAAATTGAATGGAAATATGAAGAACGAAACTGGAATCGTTGATCAAACTTCGTCCGGTAAATTTATTACGCATTGTTACGCATTTGCATCACCGGTCAAAAGTTTGAAATCACATTTTCAACAGCGATTCTATTTACTTCACAAAACAAAAGATCCTCTATTCGTCAATGATATCTTTTTATGGCTTTTTCCCTAAATTTTTTGGAATTTTTATGAAATATGTATACAACCGATTTCAAACATTTGATTCTAAGTTTATTATAATTTTCTAATGTTTTAATTTTCGGATGTAACAGAGGCTATTTTGTAAATTTAGATGTTTTACAAAGAAACATCGGTGAAAATGCTATAATTGCAAAAAGTAGTTTTCATTCGAATCACAAGACGAGGACATCATCGTCGAGTCAATTGAGAAAACGAATCGGTTCGAAACTTTCAGTCACACGCCCTATTATAAAATAAATACATTATTTACTTATGTATTAATAATAGCATTTAAATTAATTATATATATATATATACATAATAAATACGAAAATTAATTCAATTCATCCAAGAAATTTTCTCTCGTCGAATCGAAGATACTTTATTTTCGAAGGGAAATAATTAATCGAAAATTATATCTTGAATAATTAATTAGGTAAAAATACACTTGGTGACGAAATTTTGTCTAGTCAGCATCGTTTTTATTAAATTAATTATGCAACGATCACCGACAAAAGGAAAAAACAATATAATTCAACACGCTTAAGAGTAGGTACATGCACATTACGTTTTATTATTTAATTACATATACATGTACAATGGAAAACCCATCTCCAAATACGTTTATTCTCTCAAACAAATCCACGCAGTTACACACTACTCATAACCTCACTCTAAACACTTCGATCACAGTAGTACAGGGTAGTATCTTATTTAAGCCGATTACAGATGTTGCTCGTTACATTAAACCATACCGACAAGCCTTTCGAAAGTGAACTTAATAACTGAAATAAAAAGACGTGGTTTCATCGCCTCGTTCGTTCAACCCCTCTACTTTTGCCTCATTTACAAGATGTATCGTATCTGTCATCGTCACACGTATCGTATCACGCTTTTCTCACTTCTCTGTATTAAGGTCAACCGAGTTCAATTACCTTCGCCAGCCATGCCGAAGTTTTAGTCGATGCTCGATCACTTTCGCTCTAATTGATCGTGCGTATACACCAATGAAGATCGAGCGTAACACACACGCCGTAAGAGGGGCACACCTTCGAATCTTTCGTTTCGTATTGTCGTTCGATTTATATATTCGTGTACATTATCGTCCATAAGAAACTTTTTTTAAAAATGATATTCACTTTTTCACGACAGATATTTAATTAAATATATAATAAGTTAATTTATTGTTTGCACGAAAGTAGTGTTTTTGTTGTTTTTTTTTTTGCAATCTGTTTTATTAACGATTTTGGACGATAATGTATTATAAAAAATATATAACAACGAATGACAAAAGGATTCTATACGACCCAGTTCTCTTGACATTTTCGAGTATGGTCCAATCTTGTCTTACACAATTCAATCGTGAATATATTCC